GGTTTGGATAAAAACTTTACTACCCTCATTTACAAGGTAACAATTATATATATTACACATTACCTATTAACATCATATTAATATAGTAAGGTTTTTGAATTGGACGTAATCTTTATTGACATAAATATAAACAGAAATCACCAAACCCCATTTTGTAAACATTCTGAAACAAACCTGTTTGCTTGGGTTTTTGAAAGTACTACGTCTTTCATTGAGGTAAAGCTACCTACAAGTGTTTTATGGTGTCATGTTTGCTAGCTGGTGTTATTTGCCTTTGTTTACTTTTCCGGGTTGCCCTAACCAGTACACACAGTACACGTATGATAAACCATTTTGAACAACTTAAACGTGGTGAGAAATACACGGGTCTGAAGGAGATGGAAGCGCATGCAAGAAAGAAGAAGAGGCAGCTACAGGAGAAAAAGAGAGAGCGACTCGACAAGTCTGACGCAATTGACGTGTTGTTCAAGGCATTTGAAAAGCACGGGGCATGGACAGTCAAAGACCTGGCTGACTTCACTGGACAGCCTGTTGCGTACATCCAGGAGATTATTGGTGAAATAGCCGTATTGGACAAGAAGGACTACAAAAACACGTACATTTTGAAGAAGCAGTTTAAGTAGGTTGAAGAATAAGCGTAAAAAAGCAAACAAACTTTTAGCCCCGATGAAAATGAGAAAGCACCTCCAAAAACTGCTGATCAGCCGATTGGCTTCCAAAAGAATCACCCCAAGGCAATTTAGGGCTGCTATGAAGAAGCATGGCAAAAGAGAGGAAATATCAAAGAACTACAATTTATACGGTACAATAAAGGCACACAATGGTCCAGTTGAGCGTGTTGTACCAAATCACTCGTTCAACAAAACATTCATAATTTCAGGTGGAATGGATGGGCTAATAAAAATATTTGACATTGACAAACAGCTCCTGATTGTCACATTGTACGGCCACACGTGTCATGTGATTGATATTTGCATCCATTCGAGCGGGAAATACATCGCATCAGCCGATGTGAATGGCACAGTACTAGTTCATGAGTATTACAAGTATAATGAAAAA